CCAATATGTTATTTTTATCATAAAAGTAGTTGCAATAGTGTAATATATTATTAGTTAAAAATAATCAATATTTTGCAGCTCATAAGAACCTCATGGGATATCTTATTCTTCACCGTGTGTGCCCATATCATATCATCCTGTCCCAATTTTTTTTTTGGAATAATTAATTTGATGTACAGCTTAAAAATAAATGAGTTTAAATGACATATTATTTATTCAATATTATCGTGGTTTTAATTTTATTGGCATTTCCTTTTGGGGTTTTAATTTATTTTTATTTTGCCAGGAATTCTTCAAGGTCTATAGTATTAATGTCATTGCTTTAAACTATCAGAAAACAGGTTAAAGCCCTAAAAAGTATGAAATACTCATATTATTGAAATAAATATCAGAGAAAATGCTTCCATATCTTTGGATGACTTTAAACTTATGTTATCATAGTTTGTATTTAATTCGTATATTTTTTTTTGTGGCTGGCAAAATCGATCAAAGAATTAATAAATAATATAAGTGCTTTTTCCAAAAAAATATTAATTATAGTCAATAGTTTTAGTTTAATATTAGCTTTTACATTTTTTTTGGATGAGGGAGGGAGCTAAAGAGGATATTTTCTATTATTTAAAATAATAACCAAAAATGATATATTTCTGAAGTGGGAGATTTCCACTTGCCCCCCCCCTGGCTACACCTATGGTCTGGGTATAATGTTTTAAAAAAGTGTAAGAAAATACTTTATTAGAAAAACCCTTTGACTGAATAACTTAATATTTATTGTATAAATGGGACCAAGCCTAAGATAGAATGATCATGACTAATTATGCTAAAAGGCTACCAAAATTGAGAGCCAAATATGCTGTGACAGACAATCCACTACGATAAAAGGACCATCAACAACACTAGGACAGCTACCATGTGAAATAAAGGAAGACTATGGAGAAGCTTAGATGAGAAAAGAAAAAGATTTTTTTAATATCTTTAAACCATTTATTTCAATTTATGCAAACTGGTAATCATTTTTCTCCATATACATATAAATTTTTTCAGAATATTTCAAATTTATTTAATCACCTTTTTTTTTTTTTAAAAAAAATATATATTTAATTTATTGGCTAGTAAATTTCATTAATATGTCAATTTAAAAAATAATCACATTTGTTAGTATATCTTTTAAGGATAAATAATAATATATTTAAATAATATAAATAAATATATAGTAAATTAATATAATAAATTGAGCATATGGTTTAAAAGAATTATGAGTTTTCATAGTTTGCCCTTCAGTTTTTCTTCTTCCATCTGAATATTCCTCTCTTGTTCTTAATTGCTTTTCTCATCGCCGATTCTGTGATTAGGGTTTGGTTCTTTTGTTGACTTCCATCTGAATATCCCTCTTTTGTTCTTAATTGCTCGCCGATTCTGTGATTAGGGGGTATCAGTCATTGAGAATATGAAGCTGAGGTAATTGGATTTTATTATATTGAGGGCTAATCTTTGGCGTAGGTAGTAACCCTCGTTGGGATCTTCGGTCCTAGTAGAGATCCGTTTCCCCAGCTCTTTAAAGAAGGCCAGGGCATGGGTGCCGAACGACGTTAGAGTCGTGGCGATTAGTGGTAGGAATGTGTAATTGGCCGGAAGCGATGGCGAATACTTAGCGAGTTTATTCGTCTCGGCGTCTACTAGAGCATCTCTATTTATATTGGAAGGGGCAAGGGGATCGATGCATGAGAAATCCCAGGTTAGGAATTCCCCCCTCTTCCAAGGGATCATGGTAGAGCCATCGGGACGCTTACCATCAGAATTGTAGAGTCCAGTGGGTTCAAGGGTTAATGGGATACCGGCAGATTTTAGGGCCCTGGCAATAGTATCATTGCATTTTGAATGTCTAATGAATCTGCCTCTACAGCGCTTGCAGTGTAAAGAGTGACGGCCTTTGGAGTTGACCGGCGTTTGACAAAGGATGCAGTGATAGGGTATTACCATATCACAATTAAGTCTTAGACCGATGGCGTAACGTAGCTCATCATTGCTTGGGAGCTGGTCAAGGTTTTGCGATGGAAAAGCTTCGAGTAATTCATACCCGCTGTCTGCGGAAATGCAGAAGAGTAGAGAATGGTCCTCGGGTTGGCTCCTCGATTTAAGGTATGCAACGGAGTTGCCAACTAGAGGCTTATCCCAGTCCTTCTGTAGTGCCGATGAGGGAGGATCGACTAATGAAAGAGATTTCCATAGATCAATTGCCTGGGGAAGTAAAGGGTCAGGATGTTTTGTGAGTGCGTGTATGATGGCTCGCAGAACAGGCGAGAGGATATGAACGCACTAACAGAGAGTAGGGAAGGCGATCGTATGCCAATGCCGCTGGATTTGGTTGGCAAGGTAGCTTGTAGCCAAGATAGGTCTCCGAATTTGATATTGAGTATATCCTCTGTGAGGTGTTTAATCTCTAGCTCGTGTGCAGCGAGGTCGACGTCGTATTGGAAGATACGTGACGATCGGAGTGTATATAGAATTTTTGGGATTAGGAGGTAGTTCTTTAATAGAAAGAACGCTTGGTTGGCTGGGAGGCGAGATAGTGTACCGCGCATAAGGGATATCTCTAGTAGAGTGTCGGCGAAGAACTTGACAAAGGACTTGTCTTTACCCACTGGAGATCCGAGATGTGTTAAGAAGTTCAATGGTGTATGATTGAACATAGGATCATAGTTAAGGTCGATGATTCCAAGAGGACAATATTCGCTCTTGTCTTGATTGATTCGCAGTCCCAAACTACTCTCGCTGGATTTTATTATTTCGGCCGCCTTCATAACTTCGCTGGGTGAGCCGCCTAGTATGCCATCGTCGATATACCAGTTATGGAGGTTTAGTTTATATTGGTCATTTATGCCTTGTATTAGGCTATTAATGCCCAGACAGAATAAAAAGGAGCCTAGAGAGTCACCTAGTTGTATTCCACTACTAGAAGGAATCAATCTGTCTCCAAATTGAAGATGCGATGGACTAGCATAACAATCGAAGATGAACTGCGAGTATTCTGGGTAAAGGGTAAGGATGGGATTAAGAAACGCTGTACGTTTTAGAGAGTTAAAAGCGTTTGAAAATCTATCTTTTAGGATATCGTCACTGGGGTCTGTTTGTAAATACATTCTGGTCATGTGTAGGGATACCTCACATCCCCCTTTTACGTTGACTCCTAATTGATTAGGGCACAGGTAATTGGATACTGTGAACAATATTCTGCTCACTACTAGCTTTGCGGTTAATCGGCGCCAAGTGGTTCCAATAGCGATAGGGCGAATATCTTTATTAGGTTTATGGAGGGCGATAAGTTTAGCTCCATAAAGGAGTGGAATAATGGCGGGTGGTAAGCCTCCAGCAAGCATACGGTTGATGAGTTGAGTAATTTTTTCCAAAACGTCGCATTGTTGTGTGATGTAAGGTGCGGTTAGATCCTGTAGGAATATTGGGCGAAACCCATCAGCCCCCAGTGAAGAATCGCGTTTGAAGGAGAGAATAGCCTTTCTAACCTCGCTTGAGGTAAAAGTGCTTGCAATTAGAGGAGCTTCGGGGTAAGACGGTATTTCTCTTCTTAAGATCTTGTGGGTGGTGTTTTAGGAGAAGAGCTTGATAAGTTGTTTGATCGTAGGGAGCTAGCTTATTGTCAGATGTTGCCAGTCGTATGGCGGATTTAACATTCAGGTTATCCAGATTTTTAGATATAAGCTTGGCCTTGGTGAGTAGGTCATTTTTGTGATTTTTATTTTTATCAGTGTCATCACCTTTAAAAGATGTGGAAAAGTGATTGATGGGTAAGTGGTAGATAGTAGCATCCTTGATTTGCTGTGTCAGAGATTTTTTGCTGGCAGGATCAGGAACTTGCAAGGTAGTAAAGGCAAATGGTGTCTAGCCAGTGTTTTATGGAAGAATAATTATTTATCAAGGAAGTCAAGTTTTTTGAGAGGTGTTTGGCAACTTGAAGTCTTGCTCCCTTAGGTATTCGTGAAATCACAAATGGTTTTGGTGTGACTAAAAATATTTCTACATCTGTGGAGTCGGTTGGATTGAAAGTGAGAGCATTTTCGGCGGTTGAGGTGGGGACTATTGGGCTAGTAGGCACATCAGTCAACGTGGGAATGGTAACTATACTACACGTTCAGAAAAGGTGGCTCCAGATCCCCCTCCATCGAAATAGTGGTGACTCAAATTCTACAAAAATTTGAGCTCACGACTTGAGTCGAGAGTTCACGACTCGAATTCATAACCCAAGTCAGTTTGGGTCGAATTTTTCGACCCAAAACTTAGACTCAGTCGTTTAACAACACTAACCCTAGCCACGGGCCAGGTTTTTATTGATGATTTTACCCTTTTTGGGTCAACTATGCTGCTGAACTAATAGTTGTGACAACAAAATCATTATTTCACTTGAAAAAAGAAATTGGAAACGAAAATAAATAATTCTTAGAAAAATTTAAAAATATGTTACAAAAATTTTTTTTTTGGTATAACTCAAGTTTGTGATGAAGATAAAAAGTTATCAAAGGTAATTAATTTTTCAGTTCTATGTCACAGCAAAACTCACCATCATAAACTTTTTATCGCAAATGTTTATTATGGTGAATGTATTTTA